TTTCAAGTACGATGGCATAGGCCATATCGGGTGGTGGAAGGTTTTCCTAATGGTTCCGTTCAATTGGAAGATTTTTTAGGAACCCACTTCACAACACGCGTTAATGGGAACCAGTTATGTCTGTATTATACATAAATCCGGGATGGATTTACTCAGTGGTGGGAGGGAGTCTCCGTAATAATGATTACCGACAAGATTGGAAAGATTATGATAGCTAGGAAACGATTGATGGTTAATTTTGGATACTGAAATTGACTAGTCAAAAAATTAGACATTCTTATTAGATGTGAGATTAAAATACACTGGATTAGACGTTCTTGATTCGAACCTCCAGTAAGTAGTTAGGAATGGGGCACTCATAGAAGATTTCATTGTTGCAAATTTTAGACATTGTGCTTTGAATTGTAAGCTTTGCGATAGTAATCAACAATAGTGTTAGCATGAGGAAGTATTGAGAGTTTGATTTTCTCAATGTCAATGGAAAGAGCGAAGAGAGCACCGGAATGATCGGAAAGTCGCTGTAATGTAAGGTCTAAGTGCGATCTAGGATCGCCGTCTCTTGTAGTTATCACCAACATGGAACCGATGAAGTTAGATATATGTTGGTCATTGAAAAGGCAAAAAGATTTTAGAAATATAAAGTTATTTACATTTTCATGAGGATTGGATAAACTACCACCAATTGATGTAGAACGAGTGACGGAATATATAGAAAATTATGATCCAGAGGATGGTTTGAGTGTGATAAGAGGAGTCTTGATTGGGATAGATGAGAATATCTTACACAAGGACTTACATTTACCAACCAGAGAGCTTGAGGTGAGAGAAGTTGCGTCAAATGACGTCAGGCCAAGAACCTACTTCAAAGGAAGAATGTCGTTTCTCGAGCAAAATCAAGGATGGAAGATACAGGAGGCACTTACGTCCAAACTTATGGAATGGATGTGGTTTGTTCAAAAGTGGTTAGCATTGAATCAGCATACCATCTATATGGCAAAGCGATTACTGTTTTCCACGACAAGAACACTGGAAGGCATGGTATTCAATTGGACAGCTTATGTGGCCACAAGGATACATGCAGAAATGGGAGCTAAGTGGAAGACGGGGAAGTTTGCTTCACTATTATGTTCCAATTATGTAAACTCAGTGATTGAGTATATATTGAAACAAGAATCTCAACCAATAGTTCCAAGTTTATAAACGGGAACAGTTAGTCCAGGAGTAATGGTGTATGAAGTGGGAGAATCAAGCAGAGCGGCAGAACGAGAAGCAAGATCAATATCTACATCATAGCGAGTTCCAATTCGGCTGACAATAGAGATGACAACACCAATACCAGTTCCAAGGGAAAGCAACCAATTAGGCTTTCAACGGGGTGTAACAGAAGGGTGGAATCTTAAAGAAGTTATATTGGGTCAAATTTCCCAATTGCAACTTACAGTGAGTAAGCTCAAAGATGAAGGTAGCTTAAAAAGGCAAGTGGAAGCGAGTAAGAAAATAATATTGGAATAAAATTCTAAAATCAGGAAACATGAAGAAGTCATCAAGGTAGAATCAAAATCCAAGATGCGAGTGAAGTGTGAATTGGATGAGAGAGTAGAAAATTGATCAAAGCAGAAACAGAGGATTCAGCATATCTTGAAAAATCAAATGCAAGAATTACTATAAACTCGCAAATGATATAGATTGAAACAGGAGAAGATGAACGCTCAGTTGAAGATGGAACGAAAAAAGAAGGAGGCATTGGAGCTTGAAAAGAAACAATTTGGTGACTAATATCGAAACAAAACGGATGAGCTACAGACAGAAATTATTTTTTTGAAAGAAACAGTAACAAAATTGGAGAGTGATTTAGTCAATATTAGTCAGTCATAAACATCTGCCTCAACGGGAGTAAGAATTGGAAAATTGGAGGAGAAATTGTAATAGCAGCAGCAACAATTGGAAGCTAAAGATGTTAGAATACTCCAATTGGAAGCTAAGGTTCGAGAATTGGGAGGATATAATGAAGATTTAATAGCTCAATTAAGGACAAAGATTCAAGACAAGTCGGAGGAAGAAGATATAGTATTAGAACAAGACCAAATGGAGCCAGTTCCAGAAATTGAAGAGATTGAACAATCTAGTTAAAAAAAAAAAAAAAAAAAAAAAAAAAAAAAAAGAAGAAGATTGATTTTTGTTTATCAATACTGTGTTTGCGGAGATGCTACATAGTTAGGAGTGGAGCTATGTAGAATAAGTAGTTATTTTCATAATATAGATATCTAATGTATAATATAAACAGGGATAGATAATTACTGAAAAGGTGGTTCAGTATGTAGAATGGATGAATAATCAAAAAAAGTAGTTATCATCGATGGTATAGGAGTTGGTATTTTGGGGTAGTATAAGGAGGATGGGAGAGAGGAAGAAAATGCCAGACTGTGATAGTCATGAGTTGGGATTAAGCTTGGTGCTTCGTCTTTGTTTCTTTGTTGTTGAAGAATAATGGATAATTTTTGAATACTAAGAAGTGAGTCTGTGGAATAAATCAGAGATTGATTTATGAGTTATTGATTATGTAATTGGAGTACTAAGTGATTGAATTATATGAGAAGTTATTAGAAGATTGATTATGGATGGAAGGTTATGATTGTTGTTTATTGAGAGTTGTATGTATGTATTTCGACAGAGAAAGTCTGTGATTACAAGAATTCTGTGAATTCAGATTGGTTGGAGTGAAGTCTATTATTCCTAGTATTGGATGGAATTTATTGAGTTTTGAGCGGTCCTTTGAGAGTGCAGGTTTGCACATTGTGGTTATCAATTGATGAAGGAGTATTGTTACTGGGAAGAAGCATTGTAGTGTTTCTTAGTGTTTTAGTGGTTCGGAATACAGTTAATTGTGTGACCCTAACAAGTGAAACTCATGTGCTTAGTCTTTCCCTGTGTTCGAATTCCCCTATACGGATTTATTCTGGGAGGTTTCTTTCGGAATAAGTAAAATGACAATCACAATACCGTAATTATTCTTTTTGCTACCAAAATCCCTCTTCAATCTTTTTTTTTATAAGATTTATATAATATACATCCTAAACACCAAATGAAGAAATAAAACAAGATTTCAAGGATTACCAATATCTAATGAAGGTAGTTTTAAATATATAAAACTATTATCAATATAAAATCAACCTCAATAATAGTCTTTTTAAATTAATTATTTCAAAATAATAATCTAATCATATTTTTTAACTAATTAAAATCTAATAATGTGGCTCTCACAACATTGTATAGTAAATTATATATATATATATATATATATATATGCATCATTTTTATATAGTAGCCGAACTAAAATACAATAACAAGTTGTCTTTTTTGGAAATGCATTGGGCATCTGGCTGTAGAAGGAGAAGTTATGTTTTATAAATATCTAAGAAATTCTAATAGGTTTCACTCATATAAGAAGAATGTAATTTGAATTTCAATTCAAAAGTATTTAAAGTCAATACAACTAATTAAACTATACTAATTATTTATCTCTTCAATCCTATTTTTATCAATTTATGATATTTTTAAGGTAGTAAAAGAGTTTCTATAGCATAGAAGGTAAAATTATTAATCAATCTTTAATCTACTAGCTATTAAGACAAGAAAATAAATTAAGAGGCTTTTATAAAAGCCATATTTAAATGTCTTGAATTTTTATTGAATCAAAATAATTAGATATTAATTAAAATTTTATTTTTGATTATATTTTCACCATATAGTCATGTTACAACATGACGCCATAGAACATCTTTTAAAGCTTTGAGACCAAGTTTTCTTGCTCAACTTTAAAGAAGTCATATAGTTAAGAAATACACACTTCTTTTTTCAACTCTCTATCAAGAAAGCAGTCTTAACATCCATGTAGACAAGCCTCCAATTTTCTTGTGGGGCTAGTAATTATTTGAATGGTGTCCCACTAAACTATTAGGGCAAAAATTTCATCAAAGTTCACTCCTTATCTTTATTCAAAGCCTCAAGCAATGACCTTGGCCTTGCATATGCATACCATTCCGTCAAGCCAAAGTTTTGATTTAAACACCCACTTTATTGATATAAGAGTTTTTATAGAAGGGAGTAGAACAAGTTCCTAAATGGTATTTTTGTGTATTGAGTTGATTTTGTCTTCCATTGCCATAAGCCATCTTAGATCTGAGCTTGCTTCAGTAAAAGATTCAGGCTCGAGGGAAGCAGAGGCACTGCCAATGAAATAGTCTTTGGTACCAAGCAGGTGGCATTGTGTGACGCAGAGCATATAATGGAGGTTCTGAGTGAGCCGATTTTGTTGATTCATGATCTGTAATTATTTAGGACTTGTTATGAAAGGATGATAGATCTTTGATTCCATCATTATTTGACAAATGTGCATGGGAGATGCTTGATTTCATTTGAAGAAAGTTTAGTCTGGTGATGCACGGAAGTTGGATTAGGTTGGAGATCTGTTTGTAACGTACAGTACAGTTTTTGCTACTTCTACTTATAGTTCAATTGGAATTTTTCCTGCAAAGAACATGCATCAAACTTTGATTTAAATTATTCTATTTTTCCTTTTCGTAACTCTGTTCTGTTGAGGTGTAATTAGGGCAAAGAATTGTATGTAGATGTCTTGGAATTCATAATATCTTGCAAACTCAAGAGATTTGTATTCTCAGTCCTTTCTCAGACCGAAGGATGTAGATTCAAAGACTTATGTGATACTCCACTTGATTCTAGAAGATGCAAAAAAAATTCAAATGTTTGGCTCTTGTTTTTTATGAAACAAATCTAGATCTTGCAGTTATAGTCATTTGTGAATGTTAAAAAATAATCAACTTCTCCAATAGAATGCCTTAGCAAAGGACCACAAAGATTTGAGTGGATGATCTCTAGCTGCGACGATGCTTGATGCTCTGTTGTCTTCTAGAATGCCAACTGTGTATGCTTACCCAATTGACAAGCTTTGCAAGTTTCATCTAAAGATGGCAATTTTGGTATACTACAAGATTGTTTACTCATTTGTAATAGATTGTTGTAATTCAAATGGCCCGAATATGCATGCTATAATTTGGCAAGATCTTGCTCTTTGGTTTATATTTCTATTCCACAGACTGAAACTACAAGTGGGCTAGAAATTACGGAGTGAGTTTCAAACTGTGAGGTCTTTCTTAGAACGCTTCAATACTTCTAATGAGTGAAAATAGCTTATAGAGACCGATTTTAGAATCTCTGCTACCTATGGTAATTGTTTTGCATGGTCTTTGTGAAGTCAATACTAAGCACATAGATTAGATAAATAACACAAGATTTTCAGAGTTTGTAATCTCACCTATACAAAGAAGGTTTCTACCGAGGCCTGGTACGTAACGAACATCTTGAATTGTTTTTATTTCACCATTTGGCATCGCACTTGTCTCTTAGCAAACGGTACGGTAACTAGGTGGGTCGAGTGGCAAGAATGTGAGGACAAGGCAAACAGGCATAAAATATTTCATACCTTGCCCTCAGTTGTTGTCGATGAAACTGTTCTTAGATCCACAATACCTGTGGGCTGTTCAGTAAGCTGACCATGATTGCTGCGAGGAGCCATACTCTTCCTCACGACAAGATCATGGAGCTTGGGCGACCAGCATTTAACATAGAAAGTGGGTCGTTGTTCGTTTTCAAAGCGACCCACTGATGGATATGTGGCCATACTGCCTCGAGGACGACGCATAGGCTCTGTTGAGGAACCGCCCCAGTGGTTCGACGTCTGTCTCCTACTCCTCCATCAACCCTACACCAGAATATATGCAAATTTATAACTTGCAGGCAGTTTACGGGGTTCGCAAAGTTCACAGCTCACTTCAGCACTTTTGAATTACAATCCCATCATGTCAGTGACACAGGTCATCTGAAAAAATTATCTAAACTTTTTACTACGTTGTGGAGGATTAACACGATGGAGAGGATTAACCATCTGAGACGTCCAACTACTTCGAGGGCCTGCAAAGTCCAGTCGTAACAATATTGCAAAACCTTAATATCCCATTGCGGTGTTAGGAAATCCATGTCCACGAAGATAAAAACTTAAATGACATAAGACGTGGGATAGAATTTAGCTTCGAAGGCACGAAACAGACCGCGTTGTCCACTGACTTTTCAAACTATTGATTACCACCAACAATGAACTTCAACACAGCATTTCAACCAAGATACTTAGGAAGAAAATAAAATATAATATATAAAAACCACAGCATTTGATTGCCGACATGTGTGCACCGTAAGAGAAAAATTTGTACCCTGCACTAAATCTAACCTGGTTTACAGGTACAAAAGAGTGCTATTAGAGTTGGGTCCTCATTTCTTGCTCAAACTTACTGAGTCTTCTTTGTGGTGGTAATTACACTTCTGTGTGTGTCAAGACTGACTCCAGAAACCAAAAGGTAAGAATCTCCCTTTTCTTTAGATTGAAATTCGTTATTGTGGATCTAGTATCCTGTTTCGTAGGTTCGGAATATTGTAACAGTGACTGCCGCTAGTATGTAAACATTTAGGGGAGTGGAAAGTATCGGACCTCGTCGAGGATAGAATGTTTCTCACAGTACTCCTTCCGATCAAGTTGATTACAAAAAAGAAATAAAAAAGTTGAATAAAATCGATGAAGTATTGGCTGAGATGCTTCCCGCTTTGGGGTCAAAGCTTGAGAGCTTACTGCCTGGCATGAATCCGATCATGGACAACAACAGAATCCGTTAGATTATTTGCTCAACTTGCAAAATGATCAAGTGAGCGTTCAACATGCCGATATCTCTCTCGCTCTATTTTGCTCAGCTGACAAGACCCCGAATTTTTAACAGTCGAAATCCAAAGCCCTTCCTATTACTCACTTAAACCCCTCCGACTTCTTCAACTCTCCATCATATCTGAAGTTCCACCGTAAACTTAATGTTTTGCTCCACAAGCACTTTAAACTGTCTCGTGCGTACCACACAGATTCTTCATCACGGTCTCCTTCTCACCGATCTCACCACTTCCTCATAGAGAGTAAAAATAAAAACAATAGATTCTCTGTCTCACGTCATCCCATACAGAGAAGCACATGAAAGAACAAACGGCATCCATGTCGAGAGACAACCGAGAGCATATCACAAAGAAGGTTGCATCTGCATACAGAGAGGTGACACAAATGCTGGTGTAGTGCGCACTGGGCTTGTTCGTCACGACGCCATCAACCAACTTCAGGGACGATCTCATACCAGAAAAGAGGCTACCAAGAAACAGTGTGTGCTCACGCAACGCAATCCCAATTCGCACTTCCATGGCCCCTTCGAACCAACATCACGAAACATCACCACCACTGCCAAAGCAAAATCCCTCAAAATTGTGGCGCATGCTATCATGCCCTATAAGTCTAGTTTGCAGTGATCTCCACAGACAAGCGAAGTCACACACGAAAACCCACATCAAACCGAAGCAGAGCTAGAAGAAAGAGCAACAAACAAACCCAAAGAAGTAGAAAATAGCAGCATGGCAGAATCCACTCACTAAGGCTATGCTGCCGACTAAGGTGGCAGCTGCAAATACTCCCCCACAACTGAAACCAGAACTACTGCTACTGCTTCAACACAACACAAGAGCAGTGGTGTGAGAATAATGGCAACGACTCTGTCGGTGTGTGCATGTGAAGCTGGGATTGTGTGTGTAAATGTGTGCAATTAAATCAAAGCCCATGTTCAGGGAGGCAAGCGGCAATGGAGTGAGCATACTGAAGATCTTTGACAAACCACTGTCCCTCACAAATACATACATTCCTACACTCTCTCAGACTCTCTCAGCCACACAGAGCCTCCTTCTGAAGCCCACTGTTCATGATATCCCCTCTTTATTCCCTTCCTTCCTTCTTTTCATTCCTTCCTTCTTTTCATTCCTTCATTCTTTTCATTCCTTCCTTCATGTTTGTGACTGTGTATATATGTACACGTTTTCAAACAATATCTACCACAGTATCCCAACACAACCCACCTCGTCCACCTATTCATACAGAACAATGACACCACTGCTAATTAACAACGAATAAGAAGAAGAAGAAGAAGAAACAAGGGATGATGGAAGGAAACAACAGAAAGACAGCCCATGTGAGATCATTGGCTCTCCTTACTGAAAGCTATTTAATGATGATCAAAATTCTATAAAAATCTTTTATTCCAAAAAAACATGATAATATATATATATATATATATATATATACATACATACATATATTAACATGGAATGTTTTCAAGTATGAGGATGATGATTTAATTCAAACTAATAATTTTCTGAATTGTGTAAAAAAAAGTACATATATAATTATAATGTTTTATGTTTTATTATAGTTTTTTAAAGAGAACTTAGTTGCAATGTGATTTTAATATCTGTACAGAAATCAAAACAAAATAAATCAAAATATTTGCAATTTGTGGACGTAAAGTGACTTACAATCATGACTAAAATTCTGTGCATGAATGAATAGAGATTTTTTTATAATATAGTGAGTAATTGATATATGATAATATATTATAAATACTAATTAATATAATACAACATTTAATTTTTTTTTGGAACTTAATATTAAACTTAATTTTTTAATCATATAAATATCAAATGTAAGAATGCAATATTTTCTTATGTAAATTTTGATTTTCTTTAAAATTACAAATTTTTATATTGGGCTAAGTACAAAAAATCATAAAGCTTTAAAAATACATACATTCTTGTTTATTTATTTTTTTAGTTTAATTAAATAAAAAAAATCTTATAAATCTTTATTTTAAAAAATTAAATCTTAGATTTAAAAGAAATATTTAAATTATATATATATATATATATATAATATCTATAGCTAAGCCTATCAAATTTGATAGTACTATATTTGACATGATGCAATGGCCAAAATAATTTCAGTCTACTAACTTGGTTCTCTAATTGATAATGGATAATCCCTAATACTTGATATCCAATAAATGCATTAGAAAAAAATCAGATTTCTCAAGTGCAAAATTATTAAATCTTGTCATTCTTGCAAAAAAATTAACTTTCTACATTGATTTGTTACAAAACATAAGGATGATAAGGAGAAGAGAAGTTATTGAGAAATTGATATACCAAGTAATCTTATTCCTCACCATTTGTTTCTTTGCAGACCTAAATTTGTATCTTTCTCAATGATTTTATAATATGCCATGTACCATTCACCAAACACTCCTCCACATTTCTAATAGCATCTCTTAACACCAAAGACTGGACACTCAAGCTAAGTTGAGGCCTATGTTCCTCTATTTCTTCTTCATCTTCCAGCATTTCCTCTTCAATAATAAAAGTCAACTCAAAAAGTTCATTGTCTATGAACTCATGATAAATCTCTTCTTCACCTTTTGGATTCAAAAATGTCGCAATAGACATGGGATTCTTCACTCTAAGAACATTTATTTGGCACATGAGTTCTTCTAATGCAAGTTCCTTCTATGGCAAGTTAAAAGCAAATGGTTAGTCTTTATTACAGGACACATCCTATGCGATGTTGCTATGATTTGTCTTTATTGCATAGGCACATCCTATGAAACATCTTCTACAATAAGTTGGTTGTCTTCATGGTTGTGAGGCGAAATAGTATTTGTATGTATCTAACAGTTGGAGATTATATGAAAAGAATGGTATTCTTATAATATGATATGTGTATAACGGTGTGTTGTTTAAAATAAGAAAAATATTGTGGTTGGAAAATTTTATTTTGGAGTTGATATGTTTAAGCCATTCTTAAAAAGAAGTCCAATCATCTAGATTTTTTTGTTATTGCAATAATAGAATCACATCTACATCTGGCAAAGTAGCCTCTTAATATGTGCAAAATGATATACAGCTGTGATAAATCTAAAAGGATTGAAGCCATCATTTAATAACTCTGATTGTTTGTCTTAGAAAATGCCAAATTGGTTGGTAATTTTTTTGGCTTTGGCTTGAATAAGTGGACCAGAAAAAGCAAATTCTTTTATGCCTATATTGCAGCAAGCAAGTGGCTAGAGTGTTTTCCAGCTTCAAGTGGTTCATTGTATGTTGTTGTTTCATCTTCAATTTTACTTGGATTGTATTGGCATACTCATTCATTTTTTTAAGAATCTCAAACATAGAGCTTTGAGTGGGTGCTTTTGCAAAATTGAATTTATCATTTGCATAAGTTAAAAATTTCTTTTGTATCATTAATTGTGTATTGTCAAATCTGGCATATGTTATCTTCTTTTGCTTGTTACAAAGGTTGCCAAAAATAAGAGCTTTTCTCAAGTAATATATTTTATAATGACTTATAATAATAAAGAGTTAGAAGAGTGCTTATTTAAGAATAAGAATATCTATGAGGGAATGCAGATGTTACAAGACAATAATAAAAGAAAATGGTTTTTTTTTTTTTGTCTATCTAGCATAGCAAACATGAGGATGTATTGTTTACACATTTTGGAGGAAGATTTATTGTCTTCAACGTACTATTGATAATGAAAAAGATGTTAAATCATGCACCAAGGAAGATTGTAAAGCATACTACACATTACAAAATAAATTTACTAAATGTATGGAGTTCTAAATTTCATCTATTACATACCAATTGTCTCTTTTGTATATGACTTAAGAATAGGAAAAGATGAAGGAAGGCAATGGATGAGATTAAAAAATACTTCATTGAGTCATGCTAACTATACAAATAGGATGTGGCACAAGAAAAAATGCATCCAAGTACATGACTATCAAATATGTTTAGCGATGATATTTGATACAAATCATGTGCATGGATGGCATCAGATTTAATAGGTTTGATTACATATGTAAAATAAATTATTAATACATAATATATATATTTTTAATTATAAGTAGTATTTGATTAAAATCATTAGATTGAATACTTAATTTATACCAAATAATCTCATCTTTTTGTAAGTTTAAACTATTTAATTTATATATATATATATATATATATATATATAAAATATATATATAGTATATTATTTTTACATTTATTATTTTTATGCATGATATATAGTGATTTCATAAAAAAATATAATTAAACTTTGACCATATATTCAAAGATATATTAAATTTTCTAATATAACTATGACCTAAAAAGTAACATATATTAATTCTTTATTACAATTATCATGAATAGCATGAATTTAGAGAAATCATAGCATACATAAATAATTAATTTTATTTTAAAAAAAATAGAAAGAGATTATAATAGTATTTAAAAAGATTTATTAGACATATCAAAAAATATTAGAATAGAAATTCTTATAAAATTATAGATCTTATATTATAAATTCTAATATATTAAAATATTTTAATAGGTATAATATATTATTTAATTAAAAAAAATTATAAGTAAGAGAATAAAAATTTAAACTTTGTATTTATCATAATTTAATTAAATAATATATAATCTATAAAACAAAAATTTTATTACCATATTAATTTTAAATTTTGAAAATTTTTAATGTTTTATAAAAAAAATAAAGAACCAACATAATTGAAAGACTTTGTTTCTATGATAATTTTAAATTTTATTTTTTTAATAGCCATTATATTATTACTTAAAAAAATTAAATATGATTTCTTTGCATCTTCTTTAAAAATAGTTATATTTATTTTATTTTTACTTTAAAAAAATTTAATTTTATTTAAAATTCACCGTAAATATATAAAAGATAAAATTATTATTTATAATAACCTGTCATGCCATATAATTATAGATATTATATTCTATGTTATTTTAGTTTTTTATTGATTAATGTTTTATAGATAAATATTTTATTAAAAATTTGTAATGAATACAATTTATCTATTTATAGATATTAATTTAATATTTTTAATATTTTATATTTTAAAATATTATCTATATAATATTTAATTTTAAAATTTCAAACACCATAAATTATGATTTTTTCTATAATCATATATGTGATTATAAAAAAAAAATTAGAACCTATATTAAATTTTATATTAAGATTTTATTTTTTGAATTTCTATCTATATATATATTAATAAATAAATAAAAATTACTAGAAATCTCTCTTATTTGATAATTTATATCTTTTTCTTTACAAAAAATCCTTGTAAACGAATTTTAAAGAACCAAAAAGAAAATTAAATAAAATATATAGATTTCAATTTATGCACTTAAATAAATAAAATATTAGAAAAAATATAATAATAGATGATAAAATAATAATTATAAAAACTTGATATATCTAAAAATATATATATATATATATATATATATTTTAATATTTCTTAATGAAATGAAATACTAAGAAATTACTAAAATATTTTATAATAATTAATTTATTAAAATATTTTAATTTCATATAATTACATAGTCTATAAGTAAAAAAATTTATTGTCTTTAAGACTTAGTGTAATTACGAACAAGTTTTAAAGTATAAAACTTTAGTTACAAAACTTATAAAATTAAAATTTAAAAAATATTTTTTATTTTTAATTTTTTAAAATTAGATCATCAATTTAAAATCCATGGATTTAAGCAATAGCTTTAGGTTTTTCTTCATTGAATATCTATTGTTGACAAGGTGTATTACCTATTTTTTATTTGGATTGTTGATTATTATTCTACAAGAGTGTATTATTCTAAAATTAGTATATGAAGGCTACTAAGTATCATGGATATACATAAATATTCTATTAAATACCTATATAATTAGATAGAAGTTGGTAAAAATAGATAATATTAGATAAATTTTATAATACCTTCTAGAAAAACTTCTTATTAGCTTCATAGATGTTGCTTTGACTTTACATATATTTGTAGTTGATTGGTAGGTTA